GTTTCACGATCTGATTCAAGATGATCAAATGGTGGCCATTTTTCGGCTAAAAAATCATCAAAATCAAGCATTTATGGATAGATTTTGTTTAAACTTAGTACATACGTTGGACATTATGGGACCTTGATGCACATCAATTCATTTTTTATATCCAATTTAAAAAGGCCAACTGGCGGCCATTTTGTTTTAATAAATGCAGTTCTAGTGCCATATCTCTGCCATATTTTGACTGATTACGCTCAAATTTTATATATTCATTATACATCGACATAGATATATTGGTTTGACTATCTGATTCGAAATAGTCAAATAGCAGCCATTTTTGTGCTAAAAAATCATCAAAATCAAGCATTTCTGGCATTTCTTGGCGTATATGGATGGATTTTGTTCAAACATTACATTAGAGATTATGGGTTTCTGATACACATCATTTTACTTTTCAGATTTGATTCAAAATGACTGCCTAGCAACCATTTTGTTTAAATGAATGCGCTTCTAGAGCCATATCTCTGATATGCTTCGACTGATTAAGTTCAAATTTTATATATTTTATAGATTTGTTCCAGAGCATTATCTCTCAATATGGACAAGTACTTGTTTGACGATCAGATACAAGATGTCAATCTTTTTAATGTTAACAAATCATCATAATCGAGCATCTTCTTCTGGATCCATTTCTCTGACATTTTTATGTTCCAACTATATTACTATAAAGAAAACTATATATTTTAAATTTGATTTAAATTTTCTCAATGTCAATTCTGAAATAATTATGCTGATCCGTGTATTAATTGGAATATATCTTAATTTGATGATGTCCTACAGACAGTTCTATGAAAATATAGCAGTTATGTGTTATAACACTTTCACATGGGTCAATGTGGAGACGTTGACCTACATATGAAGTGCATGATACATTTTTTTGCAATTTTTTTTCATTAAAACTTGTGATATATAATTTGTGAAATAATTTTTCACCATTGCCAAATAACAAAGAGAAAATTTTTAGTCTGATGTTGCCCTTGACCAATCAACTATATTTGGGGGGAAATTTTGTTCAGGTTGCCTTGGAGACAGAAATGTGTTGTCTCTTTGTGACCAGGATAACTTTATGGCTGAGCAACAACAAAAACATGTGAAAATCAGATTTGACAATTATTTAGCATTGAGGAAGTGTTTCTTCTATTTGCAGAATGTCCCAATGGTCATTCATATGCTATTGGAGAGGTATGTATTATATTTCCTGTTTTTTATTCACTGTCTAATTTAAATATTATTTAGAGTTTCTTATTTATTTTGTTGTGAATCTTTTTTTACATCTGCTTTATTTCCTAGTGTGGGAAACCATGGAGAACTGGCGTGTGTAGTGTTAAAGGATGTGGTGAAACAATTGGTGGTAGGTTACATGAGGCCGCCACAGGTAATAAGAGAACTTCAAGGTATGAAACCAGATTTTGCACTTATACCATGATTTTAATTAGAGTCGGTGGCGATGGTATTTTTAACAACACATTGAATTCATATATTTACGTTTAGTGGGAGAAAAGTATACCAAAAACATAACAATTAATTGTGCATATTTCCAGAGATATTTCATCGAAAGTTGGCCATATTCTTGGGGCACCAGATGCAAGGACACATGAACAACCTGGACCAGAAAGACGTATGGGTCCAGCAGCTACAGCAGTTATGAGATTACTTCTTCATGCAGTTATGGTGGCTGCAGATGTACATGATTCACAGGTGAGCCATTTAAGAAGTACTAAGTAAAATAATATATTGTATATCATTAATTTTCAGCTTGATGTATATAATATGACAACAATATCAAAATGTGTAATTACCCACAATCATTACCCAATCATTTGTTGTTTTTTGTTTAGAAGCTTCAAGAACTAATCAATCCGAAAGTTACTACAGATGTTATTGAATTCCTTTGGCAACATCTGCATTGCGATATTAAGTTAATAGCACGTGCAACTGGTACAAGTGGAGACGATGCAGCTGTCCTTATTCATATCATCATACATTCTATTCTTTCTAAGATAACAGAAGGTATGTGGCAACATACATTATTCACCATCCGAGCATTGCACAATAGATATTAGTTCATTTTGTGCATTAGGGGAACACTCAAGACTCTGCTGAAACAGTGGAGCTATTTTGATGACTTGTTTAAAGGTTTTTGGTGCTAATCTTGTGCATTATTCACATCTTTTGAATGACATTTGCTTTATTCTTCAGGCTGTCAACAAGTCTTCAATACTCTGTTGAATACACCCAAATGTCGCGAAAATTGGGAAGATGAATTCACACAAACATACATCAATCCCGTATTAATGGTAATTATTGTTACAAATGCTTCACTTAGTTTGTATTCTTACCTTGTTCGATATAATCAAAACTTGTCAACCCGATTTATAGGTGTGGTTATTTGGCAGATTTTAATATCCAATCCATGTAAGAGCAATACAGGTTTTCAAGTTTTGGAAAATGTAATTGGTAATGTCATTAAAAAAAAAATTGTATGTCACAGAGTCGCACCACACAACTGAAAAAAGCCAACACATTGATGCATGACGAACACGACCGGCTACACAGAATAATCCATGAACTGGATGGACCGGGCAATTATAACAATATGGCTTTGATTAATATACCAAATATATGGAGATATAGAGTGAGAGTTACAATAGATCACCTAGCTCTCACATTGGAAGATAATAACACTACAGGAAAAGCACAGGAAAGAGATATACTTCATATGTTTTTGAAAAAAGTAAGTCGCATAATATTCATGATACAAAATTGTTTTTTTTTTATGAATAGTTTTGTAAATGTTGTTCCAAGTTATTGTAATATTATTGTGCTGTTCATATCGTGGTCTGTTCCTGTTTTGCTTCGTCAATAGTGTATACTGTAAATGTATTAATTATTCACTGGGTTTTAATTTTGCTATTTTTGCAAACTCATTGTTTTCTTTCCAAAATTTTGAATTTATTAAATTTTATAAATTTAAGGTAAATATTATGTAATCTACTGGAATTGGTGCCAAATTTTCAGTTTGTAATATTGTTATTCCATTATTAGGAGCCAAAATTACGTGGTTTAATATACTTACCAGAAATAATACAGCTTCAACATCTGCTTATTGAGCAATTCCACCGTCGTATAGATGTCAATGAAGCAAATGAGATGAATATCCAGGAGTTTTTAGATAGACTGCAAGAAGGTATTGCATGTGAAATATGAAATATTGATATCGAGAGAGCAATAATTAAGTGTACATGTGCATCAAGTGCTATTCAAAATAACTAATTTACTTCTCCTTTTCACTTAGGTCATCTTAAAGACAATTACATCAAACTCATCACTAGCTTCAGCAAGGCATGGGAATTGACAAAGTGTCATTTACACAATTACAGTACGTAATTTCTATTTGTTGCATCATATGTGTACATGATTTTTTTTAATATGTGTAAAGTATTCATATTGTGCTGCTAGTTATTGTAGAAGAGAAAAACACTAAATACTGTATTAGTCATGAGCTAAACTAATGGTGGTTAATATTATTAATATTTGTATTATTCTCACATAGGATTACCTGTAGATTTTGGTGGAAAACAAGTCCCAGCAGAGTTATGTGATATTAGCATTGACATGTCTACTAGCATTGCAGTGTTACTACCAACGAGAAAATCAAATGGAGTTTGTTCCACAGCACTTGCTGACTTCCTCATTACAACACAGAATGAATTTATTGATATGTATTTGTCAAAGAGAGGGAGAAAACTACACAGGTATCCATAATTTTCCACATTTAAGTGCAAACAGTCACAATCTTATGGAGACACACATCCACAGTGGCCAGGCATTGGTCGTAACCAATTTAATAACAAATAATAATTATACAAACTAATTTAATGATGCATTTAAATATTCATTAACCGACAGTGATGAGGAGATTCGTCCAAGTGATTTAACTCCGGCCCATCTGATTGCATATGACCCTGATAAGGATCTGCTGCCGCTGGTTTTGTCTCACTGCAACTACTCACTTGAGGTTGGTAAAGGTTCCGTTATCGAGTATGACTTAGATACTCTTGAGAGACAGCTGGAAGAAAGGTTTATTATAGGGAAAGCTAAAATTGAAAGGAAGACTGAACAGTTACTGTTTCGACAGGATTCGAGGGACGCAGCAGTTTTTGAGACAATCAAGCAAAAAATACCCCAGGTAAGTTTCCTACATCATCAGAAATCGATATAGATGTGCTAAAAATTTATGGTTTGTGTATAGATACTATACATGTATTTAAACAGTGTCATTCACCTTACACATTACGTCAGCAGTTTTGTGTCAATATTGGGGAACTTTGTATATTGAATCATTTATTTTATTATAATTTTAACACTGATGGCCCATTTTTGGAAATGTTTCCATTACTTCGGCCATTAAGGTGGTTGTCATGCTACGAGGAGCAGTTTCATGATGAAGGTTCACTTGTTTCATTTAAATACAACATAGCTGCACAGTGTCCCATGTTATGGATATGATGTTTATGTTTCATGATTTAAAATGCAGGTATTTCCATTGTTATTTAGGAGAAACTAACTAAAGCAGCCAAACATCATATTTTATCTGAACTTCGGCTGCTGACTGATGTATGGGATTCTATAACCTGTTTGGATATTCTAATCGGCTTTGTGGTTTCATCTGGTGGAAACCCAAATATGCCTATCAATACATACTTGCAGAATATTCTAAGAATGGAAAAGGATGTGATGAAGGTATTGTGTTTTCTTGTACCATATTGTATAAAGCAATAACACGTTAAATTTCGGACCAGATTGAGCAAAAAAAGCGAGAGTAGTTCATTACATTGATATATAACAGAAATAATGTTCATTGCCATGGCTTTTAATTGCAGGTACGTCATCCTTGTCAGCTAAAGCACGTTCTAGCTTTATGGGAATTGCTGAATATTGAAAGAGCAAAAAGACTTACAATGAATGACCAGGTAAGTAGAAGAATATAATGGTAATGTAACTTGTTATTCAGTGTGCCTGTAAATTGAATATTAGTAGTCATTAAGGAGTAGTTAACTTTAACATATTATATGCTTCTGAAATGTGTATTTTTGTCTTGTTTTTGTAGGATCCATTTGATACCCTCGAAAAAGAATATAGAGTACAGTTGGAGGAGAATCAAATTGCCAAACTACACGCCGCATTGCAGTATATCAACTCTGAACAGCTTATTAATGTGTTGCATAATTACATTGCACTTGGCCTACAAGAGCAAATAGATGCATGTGGTGATATTACTGAATGGAGGTAAGTTGCATAATTCTACATTCGATGTCAATAAGGTGTGCATTTTTAGACTTATGGTTTGCCCTGTGTGCGTCCGTGCATCCGTGTGTCCGTGATCACCTGTATCTCGAACATGCATGGACTGATTAAGTTCAAACTTCACTCATACATCACACATTATATCAGACATATGCACATGCATTTTTTTCATGATCCGATTAACGATAGCCGAATAGCGGCCATTTTAAGGCCGAAAATGCATCAAAATCGCACATTTTCACCATTCCGGACCCGAATCTCAGTTATGCATGGACGGATTCTGTTCCAATTTGGTAAATACATTAAACATAATAGGACCTTGATGCACGTCATTTTTTTTTGCATCGGGTTTGAAATGGCCGACTGGCGGCCATTTTGTTTTGAAGAATTCAGTTCTGGATCCGTATCTGAGACATGCCTGGAATGATAGAGTTCAAAAATAGATATGTGCATTTGTTTCATGATCCGCTTAACAATAGCTGAATGATGGCCATTTTAAGGCCGAAAATGCATCAAAATCATGTATTTTCACAATTCCGGAACCGGATCTCAGTCATGCATGGATGGATTTTGTTCAGATTTAGTACAATGTGTTGTACATATGCAGGTGCATTTCGGATCAGACCAGATTTCGGTCATGATCTGCTTTGAATGTATATGTCACTCAAATATGAACGGAACGGGGACGTGTCATTGACAATGACTTGTTTACATATATTTTACATATCAGTATACTTATGAACATATCGCGACTAGTATTACAAGCCACTGTATGGACATGACTGAGTCCTCGCTATTCAACAGTAAACAAAATTGATTGACAGAAACACTCAAGTTTGAAGATTTTTTTGGCACAAAAGTGGCTGTCAATCGGCCATCATGAATCGGATCGTAAATCAAATGACCGAGCATATGTACACCAAAATGCATGATGCGATTGTGAAGTTTGAATGTGAACAGTTCAAATGTCAAAAATACTGGTTGGATGTGCATAATCTCTTATTCATTTTTTCACAGAATTCATGATGTTTTCCAAAACATCGAAAATGTGGGCGTCATCACTGGTTTTGAAGACAACTTTCCAAAAGACATTTTAATCAAGAATCTGTTCTTTACATGGAATGAAATTATCAAATATTGTCACAAAAATTAAATATGTGTAGTTAATACAATGTTACTTCATAAATGAAGTTACCAATATTTGTTGTTGTTACAATGCCCCTTGAATCAGTGGATATCTATTACACAGTTGTGGAGCTAGACACACAATATTGTACCTTGTAAATGCATTGTCTTAAAACCTATGTTATCCATATATAATCAATATTAATCCAGAACTTTATACGCTTTTTAACTCTCTATGGGATTTTACAATACATAATAATCGCTATAATTGTATAATCTGACAAACTCATAAAATAACCAATCGTTTTGATGTAGTTCAAATTGTAATACCATCTAAAACCTGTTAAAGATAGACTTGTATTTAACTATCAATGAATCGGTATTATCATGTGATGTAACGATTGAAGCACAAGCATGTTACGATTGTATTGGAAATGTGGACTACCAGTAACTTGGGTTTGTGGAAAAAAAAGTGGGGAATCTATAATAATAAAAGTTGATAGGAAGTTATCATTTCTTGACTAGGATTATACTTGCACACAGTCCCGTATTCATTTATTGTTTTCTCAATAAAACAAAATGTTATGGGTGTGTATAAATAGCGAAAGCAGAGTTTCTGATTTTCGTGGTAACTCAGCGTTCGCCATGTATACACTCTCATAACATTTTGTTTTATTAAGAAAACAACAAATGAACAAAAGACTGTTTGCAAGTCTAGACTAGGATGGTTTAGTTCATAAACCATGTATACAATTGAATTGATATTGTATCAACACTATTGTCATGATGGTAAGCATATTTTACTGCTAACATATTGGTCAGGAACGATGATAAAGTACGACCATGGGCAACTTTGAGAAAAGCTAAAATCCAAATGTCCCTAATAAGTAAAAAAAATCACCTTATATACCAGTATGTGTTATGTCACTTATACCAAATGAATTTAAAGTCAACTATAAATGCGATGTAATATTATACGCAAATATCACTAACACCCACGGTTACTGCTTCTAGGAATCCTGCTAACACCATGCTTATTTGAACTAGTTCAAAAAATATAACTAAGGTTAAATGTATTGAGTATTTATTCTGTGAGTGATTGACACTGACTTAAAATCAAGGTGAATATAATATCAAATAGATTTCCAGTGATATCTCTTTCTGAATGGGTCAATAGAGCATGATGCTTAAATTGAATTATATATCTATTTCGCTAGTGAACACATCTGTATTTTGTCGTGTGCATTATTTTTCTTTATTATTAACAATCAAATGTGGTGTTGGTTAAAGCTGTTCTGTTGAACATGTTGATCTCAAATTATTTGCAGTGTTACCTTATTATATGGAATAAAAATCTACTAACAGTATAAAGCATTTATGTAGATATTTTCGTGGGTGTGATAACACAATTTTTACACTATTCCTAAATTGTTTCCTGTGACTGGATTTTTAAAAATCAAAAGAAAACTGAACTAATTTTTATAAGCTGATCATGTGACATTGAGAAATGTTCTCAAGTTATGATGAAATGTCTTGCCTGTGGGCATATCGATTTTACATTTTGGTCAGTCTTTATTATGCAAACATCCCTCGCATATGGTCATCTACATCTTGAACATACTATTTCCATGTCAACCATAATTGCCTCAAATTTTTAAATTGTAAACTTGTGTACATTTATGTTATATACTACTGTATTTTATTATTGACAAGTGGATTTAATCAGCCATAAATTCATGATAGGCTAAAGAATCAGGTGAAGTCCATAGCGCCCTCTACTGACAATTTTTTTTTTGACAGACATAAGAACACAGATTTAAA